ACCTCTCGTCTCGGCTAGCTGCTCCTGCCTCCCGCCGCTACCGTCGCATCCATCGCTGCCACCCCCATCCCCTTGCCCGAGGCCCTGAGCAGACGCTGGCCGACCTCCTCTCGGCCTTTTCACCGGTAACTGCTCAGTCCCGCAGGGTGCCACTTCCGGGTGGCATTATCACATTGCAGGTGTCCCCCAGCACGTTCGGTTTTTTTTTCTCCCTCTCTTCTCCTCGCGTCCACCCTGGCGGCTGTGCCACCCCTCACGCCCCTCACACCCCGAGCTCGCCATCCCTCACGCCCGGTAGCATCAGTAGTTCTCAGATCTGGTTCGCCCTCCATTCGCCACCATGCCCTTGCACGTCTCACGGACTGCCGCTGGCCCGGGCGCGCGACCTTCACCCCATCCTCCTCCTCTCGGATCCAGCGGGCGAGGCCGGTCCAGATCCACAAGCCCATAAGCAAAAGAACGCAAGATGGATACGAATGGAGTACAGGGGACTAGGATATTAAACGTTAAAAGTGTACAGGTTCCAGGGATCAGAATTGTTAGTGCGGTGGATCAACTAGGGGGGGGTAACAGGGGGGATAAGGGTACACAGGGTGCCACACAATTTGTAGTAGAGATCAATGTATGTTGATATCTTATCTGTGGGTGACGATTCTAGTGGGTTCTGGCAAATGGAGGTGCGAGTAGCGATACATCGATTTGGCGGGATTTTTTATGGTGGAAAATGTATCGGGGTACGTAGCCTAATTAGGAAGGATCCACTGCACTAACAATTCTGATCCCTGGAACCTGTATGTACCTACCTCTGCAAGCCATCGATGGCTCCATGACAAGGTTCTGCCCGCTCGACTCCCATCCCACTTGGCACCTAAGCACCTGTCTAGTGCCATCCACCACCCTCTTGGACGGGCGAGGTGTGAATACTCATACTCTGTGTGATTATTACCGCAGCGTCCGGCACAAGACTCCAAGGGGCGGCGCGGACTGCCTTGACATGTCGTAGAATCCAAGTAACACAGGCTACGAGGCTTCTAGGCGGCTGTTTCACCCTTGGCGCCGCGTCCTGCCGTGCTACGTGGGACCTCCAAGAGGGACCGTCCACATTTTCGAGCCTTGTCTGCGTTGCTTTCCAGGGTCCGGAATATGGGGGGTGGTATCTGCACCGAAAGCCCCGACGGCCAAGGTGACATAACCGGATTGGATAGATTGGCCGTGGGTTGGCCAAGACGATATCGCGACTTTTAAGGATAACCCGACCTGCCTAGAGGAGAATGTGATGCTTGCCCACCGCAGACGGAGGCAAACGATGCAGCGGACTTGTCGCGTCGTACCTGCAGTAAACTGAAGCCCACAACAGGTTCTGTCACGTCACAACTCGTAAACACCGCCGTCCCGTCGACATCGTTTTCAGCGACCAGCATGCCGGCCAAGCCCCAAATCTGGGTTAGGCCACCGCACGGATAGCAACGGAGCCACGCGGTCGCCTCTTGGTGCCCTCCTCTCCGCCGTGGGCAGGACAGACGGGGAACAAACCGCCAGCCTGCACCTGGGCCTGGGCCCCATACCCCTCATGCCCTCCACCCTTGCATGCCGATCCCGTGGACGCTCTGAAGGGGGTATTACGACACATGTCGCGTAGGCATATGATAGAGGCGTCCAGAGGTTGCTTGTTTGTCTGAAACTGGCGTCTCTGAAAACGTAGGTCTCGCCCGATGCGACGCTGGGTGGCTGGGTGGCTGTGTTAGCTTGCAAACAAGAAAACGGCTCTTTGGGGGGTGTCCTCGCCCCGACGAGGTTGATGTACCAGTGTTATCGTCCACCCATCCTATCCAAAGGCCCCCAGCCAACCAGATCCGAGAAGTCTTGCCCGTGCCGTCACTCATTTCGCACTTGTTCATGGCCACGCAGCCATCCATCATCTATCTCGTAAGCGCGCACAGGCGGCCCAAAACAGCGAGTTGACGAGCCCTCGAACACGGGACGGACAGACACATATGGCAACATCACCCCAAGCTTTTGGCACACGAGCGGGGACTGCTGTTCCATCCACTGGAACGCAGCTATGTCCTGACTTGCCTGCCAGCGCCCCCGGCTTGGGTGGCGTCTTGGCGTTTGCCTTGGCAATGTGGTCGATGGCGGTAGGCTTGAGCCACCTTTCCGGCCGGCACCGAGCCGGGCTTGTCGGCAGGTCGTGGAGGGAAGCAGATGCAACCACCACGGGCAACGCGCTCACACCATCACGGGTTTGATGGAGAGTTAGCTGCGCCACCTTAAGGTCTTCTCCTTTCTAACGTTGGTTGGGTTGGAAGCCGCCATGCCCAGGCCCAGGCAGATATGGGGTCAGGACGTGCCTGGGGGAATGGGGAATGGGTGAGGCAGAGAAGGCGAGAACCACAAAAAAGAATTTCGCCGACTGAAGTGCCCACCGGTGAGACTGAAGATCTTAGCAGTTCAGGCGAGGGGTAACTATTAATAGGGGTGGACGTTTTGCTGATCAGAAAGCTTCGCTACCGCAGTGCGAGAAATAAAAGGAACGAGAAGGAAAAGCTCGGCCCCGGTTCCGTTATGCGGCCTGTTGACGGAACGTGCCCCCACGCACGCATTCCCCACGTGCGCGGGCCAGAGTTTACTCCGTACTGTGTACATGCAATAGAGCTTGTCACTCAAGTGCAGAGCACAGCAATGGGGCCTGTGACAGCCTGTGCAGCTTGAATATCTGGAATCACCAAATCCCGCCATTCCAGATACGACCATCAGAGGGGGAAATTCCACGCCTATGCAGCTGGCGCATCTCGTACTCTCCTGGTGTGTACCGCCTCTCCTGCATCGAGCCGGGCGCACACAGTCCCCAGCTGGCCGAATTAGGTCCAAAACCATACTCCCAGGCCCTCACCTCCGCATTCCGATGCCCTGACCCTTGTCCCATGTCCATGCTGCGTGACGCGACGCGGGACATGGCTCCCGATGCTCGCAAGCGGACTTGTGGGTCAGCCGAGGCCGTCCAGGCTGAAGGGCGTGTCGGAGCGGTGACAGCCACCCTGCCACCCAGCCGAGCCAGGCCCCTCGCCGCCGCCTCCTGGTTGGATGGAGGATGGAGGCCGGCAGGAGGCCAAAGGCCCGACGGGAGTCGCAGGGGGAAAGACGAGGACGAAAGACAGAGGAAGAGAGCGCGACCCACCTCCCGCAGCCACAGGACACAGGACACAGGAGAGGGGACGCCTGCAGTGGCACCTCGCCCAAGACACAAACACAGAGTGAGAGGTGTGGGCTCCCCGTATCCTGGTTTCTCGTCCCGGCGGCATTATTATACCTCTGGGTTCTAAAGCAGGTGTCAGATACCATGGAGGCTGCATAAGTCCCTGGAGATAGTGCACCCCCCGCCTTCCATCTCACCACCCACAGGCAGACAGGGCACCCCGCCGCCCCACTCCACCTCGAGGGGCAGCATGGGAGGTCTCAAGATGGAGGCAAGGCAATCACGGCGACGCAGCTGCACATGGCCCAAAACGACCGGTCGCACCATGGCCGATTGCCATGGCTGGTTGGCCCCCCCTTTCTCTTTGGGACGTTGGGGGTGGCTCGTTTTCTTCCCTTGTTCTTAAATCCGTCGCCCGGCCTGCTTACGGCAAGCGTCGGGGTCGTGGGAAGGAGGTATCGGCAGAGGCGACCGGTGTCTTGAGCGCTGCTGCTGCTGCTTCTTCCACTTTGCCAGCCAAAAGAAGTTCAAAAAGTACAAACCCTTTGGGCGGGCCCGCAACTCGCCTTCAGCGGCCACCCTAAAATAACGACCTACTCAACATCCAACCGAAGCTAGCATAGCCTGGCCTGCCCACCAGCAAGGACCCGATTCCATCCTTAGTCTGTGGCTTACCTCTGGTGCTTACCGGGCATCCAGAGGCAGTCAGACCGCTCTTACCGCCTGCCTGTCCACCCTCTCCGCCGCTGCGCACACGCACATGCATACGCACATGTGCTCGCACGCTGCACCACTCCACCGGGACTCGACTCGACTCGACTCAAGGCTGCGTCTTTGACCTGATTAAAGCAAACAGGAGCAAGCAGCAACTCGGGCGAAATCGGCCGACCTTTGACGCACGCAATCACAAGAGCGCCCAATCCGCCGGGGCGGGCACTGCAGAGCAAGAGGTGTCGTGCTTCGACGTCTGGTCACGCCCATAGGTTGACTCGACTCGAATGGTACTCGGCAACGACTTAGAAGCCCGACTGCCTGCTTGCGTGTACTTGTGCTGTGCCAATACCAGCCTCCAAACCATCAAATTTCCATTATCCTTCCCACCGCTGCCACCTCTGTCAACCAACCGGACCACACCACATAACCCTATTGCGTGCATCCCTTTTTGGTTTTGATTATTTGACTTCGGCTGCCCTGGTTGCTGGCAGCCAACCACTTGGTCTTGTCGCCACCATAGCCGACCCCATTTGGCAACTGACACCAGAGCTGGGGTCTCTTGGCACCGACTATCTGCTGCTGAGCAGACACAAGCCGTCTGTGCATATCCACACCTCCCACCCACACCCGCTGCCACCCACCCACCAGCGCCAGAGCCTGCAGACACTGGCCAGACCGCAGCGAACCCACACAAAAACGATGGCAGCGTCCCACCTCGCCGAGTTCCGCCTGCGATCCGGAAGCCTCAACGTCCAACCCTCGTCGTCGTCGCCTTCGTCCCCTTCGCCGGTCGCCGCCGCCGCTGCCGCACACAATCAGCACGTCCGCGCCGCCAATGGCAGCAGCGTAAACGCCCCCATGGCTGCTGCAAACCAGAGATTTGACGGGCCAAGGAGCCCTCCCAGTATGTGCCACCCACCCCTCTTGACCCTTTCATTTTTCCTTTTGTTCCTCGTCGAATTTTGTGTTTCCTCGCGTCGTTGTTGGCCGCCTTTTTGCGCATTTCACATAGCTTCGCGACGTCAGGCAGGTGGGCGGGGTGTCGGGCGTAGGGCGGGGAGACGACTGGGAGACGTGCGCTGTCACGGCAAAAAGACGACACACACTCGCACCACACCCAATGTCTAATTTTTCTCTATATTCTTGACAAATTTCCCGGATAATCCCCTGCTCCTGTGTTTCTCCTGTCTCCATCTACCTACCTACCCATCCTTTCCTATTCTCGTCCCTTTGTGTTTTGTTCCTTTATTCGTCTCGCAGCGCTGCCGGCAGCCGAGCGGTGCCAAAATTTTGTCGTGGAGCCCCTTGTCCGCACCCATCTGCCCTCGACCCCTCTCCTCGCTGCCTGGGCTTGCGCTGCAGCCTCCGCTCCGCCCTCTCCGCTTTGCAACTTTCTTGCTTTTATTCTCGAGTCGCGGCCGACTTCGACGGCACAAAAGCCATTCAAACACTCTCGGAAATTGCGCAAACATGTCTCAACTAACAACTCCCGCCGCTTCCAATCGCGCAGACACCTCACATGTGCCTTGCAAGTTCTTCAGGCAAGGCGCCTGCCAGGCGGGCAACGCCTGTCCATTCAGCCATGACCTGAGCATGGCGGCGGAAAACGTCTGCAAATACTTTGCAAAGGTGAGTTGCCCTTGCCCTAGTCCCATCTGTTCTTCTTCCCTCTGTTCGTTCTCCGCGGCTCCTGGTTTCTGGAAAACTTGGAGAGCCGTAGGGTGCGAAGCCCAACACCCTGGCCGACCCGGTCCCGATGCCCGTGCCACCAGCGCCTCCAACTTTGTCTCTCCTCCGCTTGTTGCGCCTACACAATGGCACAAAGGCAATCGGGGGCGGGCGGGACGGCGGAACACAAGGAGGGGCAGAGGCTGACGACCTGTGCAACGCGGCGTATAGGGTAATTGCAAGTTCGGTCCGAAATGCGCAAACATCCACGTCCTGCCCGACGGCCGTCGCATAAACTACGGCAAGAATGGCGTCACCGTCGCTCCCACGCCCACAATCAACCTGGGTAGCCGAGTCAATCCGAACACGTACCACCAGTCTTCCAATAGCGCCCTGACGAACTCGTTCATGCGTGGTGTCGACGCACCCGTTTCGCCATATGGGGCCCCGAACCCTTACATGTCGGCCGACGACCGCTATGCCCAGCATCATCTCGGCCGCCAGCCGAGCCTGGAGAACGGCCTGCCCACCATCGACACCACCTATTCTTCCAACCCTGCTTCGGTGTATGGGTCGCCGCGTGATGACGAAGCGAGCCGTTTTGGTCTCGGCCTCTCGCCCGGAAACGCCAAGGGTCTGTCGGTGCTCGACGCCCCGCTCCCGGCGTCGTTCGACTCTCAGGGAATCTCCCTCGCCGCGCGCTACGGCCCGTGGCCCTCATCCGTTCCTTCAAAATTTGGCCTCGAATCGCCCTCGGCTTCGCTCAACGCAGCAAAGGACGCGCGAACATCCGAGACCCTGAAACTCCTGCACACGTCAGCATTCGGCAGCAACGATCGTCTTTCGTCGTCTACATTGACGGCCAACGAGATGGGCTTCTTCGGCAGCGTCGGCGGTGGTCTCGCTACCGGCAGCAGCCCGCCTGTGCACTTGGGCGAAGAGTACTTTGGCAAACGTGCCATGCACTCGCAGCGCTTCGCAAAGCCCCGGATGCTCAGCGCCAGCGCTCCCAAGGTCGACCGCGATTGGGAGGCCGAGTTCCTGTTCCTGGAGGAGGATTATGTCCCTAGCGCTCTCGCAAACGATGTTCTGACTCCGCAAGAGAAAGCCCGCCGTGGCTCGGTGCGTCTGGACGAGCCGGCAACCGGTGGCGGCAGCGAGGCCGCATCCTCGTCGCTTCCTAAATTCGGAAGCCTTGGGACCAGCCCGAGCAGTAGGTGGGGGCCCATATTCCAGCGGCAGCGTTCCGATGACGACAGCGGCTCGGCCGAACCCGGCATTATCCCGGGAAAGTCGATGAAGTACGCGACGTCCGCCTTCGGCCATGTGGGCAGTCCACTGAGGAACTCGAGCTTGGCCATCGACGTGGAGATGAATGGGGGCTTGAGCAGCCTCACCAATGGCGCTTCTCAAAGCCGCCGGGCAGGCAACGACTCTTTCTCGGCACTCACCCAGCAGTTGCAGCACACGAGCCTGGGCGAAAATGGCGATGTGGTCGGCAATGGTTCTAGCCCGCGTCTTCACCCCAACTCGGCGCGATCGACCAGCGGGCTCGGGTACGTCGCATCCTCTGGCCTAGCAGCGGCGCTCAAACAGGAGCGTGACGGTGGCAGGGAACATCGTGGCATGGAGCGTCATGTGAGCAGCGGCTCTATCGGGTCGGGTAGGTTCACAACCCCGATCGACGAGGAGGATCCGGCCTTTGTCTTCAACATGGAGGAGGATGACCCCTCATCGGGGCAGGGTCAACAGCAGCAGCAGCAGAGTCAGCAGAGCCGAACTAGGAAGCGGATCTCAGGCGGCCTTGGCGCAAATGGCTGGATCTCTTATGCCGGCATTGCCGCCGCTGGCGCACGGTCCAGTGCCGTCAACGGGAGCAAGCCGAGGGAAGTCCCCGGGGCTGTCGAGGCTGTTGGTGGCCGATAAGTCCGGGTCGACAGGCTGCCAGAAGACAGCGCATCTCCACCGCTATGGGAGATGTGCACGAGTTCTCCTTTCTACATGCGACAAATACCCTCATAATATTGCGCACATCAACCCGGGGCACAGCCGATCCCAGCATTTCCATTTCTTGGCTATTCCATCAACTCGGTTTGCGTTTGGCTATTTGGAATTACCTCGCCTGGATTTGGAACGACGAGACGTACGAGATGCCACGAGTGTATACGAGGGCTTTTCGGGAATAACGAGGAAGCCAACAAAAGAAGCAAAAAAGAAACGAACAAAAAAATCTTGCATGATTGGGGGAGATACACAAATCTATACAAACAGGCGGTTCCCTATACATGTCCAAAGGGTTGCTTAAAAGGCCGCTCAGGGTGGGGGTCTGCTGGTTTTTCTTATGTCTCGCGTTTTGGGTTCTTTTATTTCGCACGATTTGCTGTTTTTCTCAGAGATGCTACTTATTCATTTGGACTCGGGTCATGGCTTGTTCAGGTACTTCCATCTTGAGGATATTTCATAACGAGATTCCTATCGCTTAGTCCGGGCTCCCCATTGACTATTGTCAGGTCTGGGGGTGTTTTGATCTCGGGCATCGCGCTTTCCTCTCTGTCCTTTGCGTCCTTGCCTCTTCTCTCCCTTTGCTTCTAGTCCATCCCTAGGCTTTATGTATTGGGCGGCTACGGAGCGGGCGCGCCATACAACGTCGAGCTACATGTACCTGCTTTATGAAGCGTCCTTCTCACCATATCTCCTTGACCGACCTCCTCTCCCTCGACAGTCAGGAGCGCTACATGTGCGTGAGCATTCCGGCTTGGAGTTGGGCTGACAAGAAGAATAAGAAGAAATACGATTTATTAGGGGATTTAGCTGGATTACCGTTCCGCGGCTTTGACTATGGCTCCTGGCTTTGGTAAGAAATATGCAAATATGATATTTCTAGCCTCATTCGCCGGGGGTCAAGGACCAATGGGGGCTGTGGGCGTAACTTCTCCCTCTCAATTAGCGTCTGTTCTGTATTGTATCACGGTGGATGCCGGATGTTGTGCTCGTCACGCTCAATGATCCCCTGGGAAGGCAAGCGAATGCCGAATCAAGAAGAAGAAAAACACAACACCAAATATTCCCTAGAACATGCGCGCCATGAGGCTCTGCTCCCCCACGGCTAGGATCAAACTTGCAAGTCTAATTGGGGGACAGTAGCTGCTCAGCAGCACCATCACCAGCTCGGCGACGGTCTTGATCTCATCGCCATCCCCGTCGTTTGCCCAGCCTTTTGGCGTAGCTGCCGAAGAGGTCGCCAACGACGGTGAACCTGTCGACGTTCTGCGTCGAGTCCCTGCTGGTGCCTATGGTCTGGCTCTTTGCCGCGTTGATGGCGCGCTCCCCCTCACCCTCAGTTCTTGGTTCCGTGGCCGGCTACCGGATTCCGCCACGGCCGCGCTTTGCGCCCATAATCGTACGCGGTGCGAGCTCTCGCCAGTGAAGCCGCGCCTGGTCAAGTAGTCGAGTTGATGGTGCTGTGTTGTCTACCTTGAGAGGCAGAGACCCATTCTCCCGCCCAACTTCCTCCTAGACGACCCGGTCCTTTTCGACCCAGACCTGCCCCCACAGGGCGTTCCGAGGTAGGACTACGCATGCGAGAACATGGATACTGCCGTCGACCTGCCATCGCTCATGGACGTCACCTTCCGCACCGAGTACTTGGATGTGCTCAAGGAGACTGCAGCAGCCTGATGGCCCTGGTACCTTGAGGCGTTAGAGGGGTGAAGGGCAAGATATGGAGCCTTGTTGCTTTCGTGCACCTGGGTCTTGGTAAGTCGGGCGCCGCCAGCCAGGGTCCGGGGAAACAAAAAGCCCAAGGCGGACTCTCCTGGCTGACTTTTAGCCGCAGGGCTTCATTGACTGCCCTCATCGATGCGACCGGGCCAGTGACTTGGAGAGAAACGAGTTGTACGGCCTTTTGGTACATCTCCTCGGGCCTGCCAATGATGATACCATAGGGTGGCTGGTCCTCGCCTGCCTCGACGAGTGCGACGAACCGTCACGCAGCTGGTTTCTCTCGAGACTCTCATCCTCCATCGCGACCTCGGAGCTGACGTGGAAGTTAATTCTGACCCACAACCGAACCGATAGCGGCGACGGGATGAGGACGGCATTGTCTAACCTCGCTTCTGGCAGTCGCTGTCAGGGGCAGGGTACCCAACAAGACACGGCCGAGCCCAAGTTTCCAGTATTGTATAGCCTCGACCTCGATGAGGTTGGTTTCACCGCCTCGGCAAGCCATCGCGAGAGGCCCTTGGCGTCCCTTGCCGTGAGAGACTCGGTGCGATATCCACAGAGCGCGGAGTTTTGGACAAGATTGGAGGGCATGACGGAGGCCCAAGACGCTCTGGCGGCATGGATCGAACTTAACAGGAAGGGTGCGGAGAAGATGGCGGCAACACTGCTTCTGCAACCACTCGCTCTATCCTTCGCATCGGTCTGCAGAGCAATGTTGGACGCTGTTCCTCTCCCGAACCAGCACTGGGCTCGGGGGGCCATGGCGTGGTTGGCGTTTTCCTTCCGGCCGCTGATGGCGGAAGATGCAGCGGCAGTGATAGGTATCCCTCGTCACGGGCTGGGGGAGCTCGACAGACCATGCTCCAGTGGCGACTTGATGGCTGCACTTCGCAAAAGCTTTGGGGACTTGATCTATATCGTACATGGCGAGTTATGGGGAGGTCCAAAGCTCTGGCAGACAGTCAATCTCGACTCCAGAGAACCGGGCACCGAAGGACTCTGGTACGAGTTTGCCCAGGAAAGCCAAGGCCACGGGGAGATTACAAACATGTGCCTGCAATATCTCAGCAGGCCGGGGATGCAAGAGGACCTGGAGAAACTCGGCTCGGCGGGGCAGGTCTGGGCAGAGGACGTGCAGGATGAGACTAGGTCAGGCGCCGCCATCGACTTCCTGACTGACGACAAGCTGAGAGAGCCATGGGCGCGCGCGTACCATGCGGTAATTCGGGGGTCAGCGGAAGACACAGCCTCGGAAAAAATCTCTTCACTCCGAGTGTGTGCATGGCTCGGGTTCGATCACCTCCTACGCCGCTTTGGTGAAGGAGCGGGGAAGCAGGCGTGGAAGCAGGCGTGGCAGCAGGCGGCGATGGACGCCGCAGGACACGGTCGAATTAAGACGCTCCGTTCTATCTTGGACATGGAGCCCGCAGCGGGCGTCGGGTTAAATTCGGAAAAGGCGATCTGGGCAGCCATGTCGTCTAACAACGAGGAGATCATTCTCGCAATTCTGGACAAGACACCCGTCCAAACGGACTCCTCGCCAGCCTGGGTCTCGGACCTTCTACTTCAAAGCTCGAGGCTTGGATTCACCGCTGTCGTCAGGAAGCTCCTGGGCCCTCCATGGAACGCAAGCAGTGCTGTTGCAGGCATCTCGGGGCTCCTTCACTATGCCGCCCGAGGCGACCACCTAGAAATCGCAAAGTTGTTGCTCGACGCCGGCGCGGACGTGGAAGGCGTGCTGGGCTCCGATCCTCTCCCAAACCCCTCTCATAATCGCATCCGAGAACCTTTCTCCACAAGTGGCCGAGCTCCTTGTCAGGCGCGGCGCCAAGACGGATGCCACAGCCGGAAACCGGTCCTGGACGCCGCTGCAGTTTGCCGCCGACAGCGGGTGCCCCCTTGCCGTTAAGAGCATTCTCAACCGTGACAGCCTCGACCGGTACGAGCCGTATGCGGATCATCCGCTGGCGTTGGCCGCGGTCCAATGGCCACCGGAGGTGTGTCGAGGCCATGTGTCTGGTGGCCGGCAATTTCGAGCCAATGGTCGGTTAGAAGACCCCTTTGGGCCATGCGGTAGACAACGATGACATGGACATGGCCCGCATGCTGCTTGGAAACGGGGCACAGGTTCGAGGGCAGCACCACACCGACTACCCGGGAACGCAATTAATCCACGAGGCCTTGAAGCGAAATAGCAAGCAGATGGTCGCCCTCCTCGTCGACAACGGCGTCGACGTCAACGTGCTAGGTAAATCGGTGGAGTACACGCCGCTATGGCAGGCCGCACGCCGGGGGCTAACCGATATGGCCGAATATCTCCTGGACAATGGCGCCAAAGTCGACAAGTGCGGTGAGCGTGGGGAAACGCCGTCATTCGAGACGGCATATAAGGGCCATGCCGAGACACTGGAGCTGCTGCTGCTGCGGGGTGCTGACATGGAGGCTATATCGCATAGCGGCGAACGACTGATGGATAAGGCCTTCCGCAGCGCCGAGACGGTGAGGGTGCTTCTGCGGTACGGCGCCAAGTGCAACAAGTCAAATTTCCCCTTCACGCCGCTGTGGGAAGCGGTGACAGAAAACTACCCTAACACAGTCCGGTTGCTACTGCACGATGATATTGATGGTCGCCTCGACAGATGTGAACTCGAGACGGAGGTGGAAGGCTCAACGGTGTTGTCAGAAGCGCTGAGCTGGAGATACGACGACATTGCACTTGATCCGCTGGACGCAGGCGCCAACATCAATTGGGTGAGCCGGTCAAGTGACACCCCTTTGCACTTGGCCGTCGAGAATGGCAACGAAGCGGTGGTAGTAGCTGCATGCCCGAGACAAGTTCGGGAGAACGCCGTTGAACAGGATTGGGCGCTACACGCCGGTCAGCGCAGTGCGGGCGCTGATCTGTGCAGGCGCCGACGTCGAGTCTGTCGACAAAAATAACCACACACCCGTCTGGACGGCCGTGATGGCCGGCAATGCGGCTGTCAGCCGGCTGCTGCTGGGAGGTCGTTTCAAAGCCAAGGTCAACATCTCGGAGGGCTCCGTCAGCGACAGGATGACCCTCCTCCAGTGTGCCTGCCTCTATGCCGCCCCGGCGGCGCCGACGTCAACATTGACGTCCCCGGTCTCT